AAAGTGCTGCACCTGCCACGAAATCTGCACATGCAGGTTCACAAAGTTGCCTGGAGCTTGAGCTGTTGAAACCAGAGCTAACTGGAGCTAGAGCTATTGAAACTAGAGCTAACTGGAGCTGATGAGTGGTGCATGATGAGTGGTGCATGATGAGTGGTGTATGATGAGTGGTGTATGATGAGTGGTGTATGATGAGTGGTGCATGATGAGTGGTGCATGATGAGTGGTGTATGATGAGTGGTGGTTTGATGACTGGTGTATGATGAGTGGTGTATGATGAGTGGTGGTTTGATGAGTGGTGTATGATGAGTGGTGTATGATGAGTGGTGTATGATGAGTGGTGGTTGAACAGCTGTTGAATGTCCGTAACACGGAAGTTTTGCACACTAAACTTCCTTTGATGACTGCCAAATAGCGAGAAAAGGGAGATACATGGCGCGGCTGTTCCCGCTATTTTTGAGTTGCGCCAACAACTTTCCACCCGGTGTAAGACTGTTCCAATGACCCACATGCACTCCGTCCCATAGTTGACCAACCAACCCTTGAATCTTCGCGTGCGTCTTGGCCCCTCAGGAACTACAGTGATGGCATCGAGGAAGTCCCAGAGGAGTCGGAGGTGGAAGATGCTTGGCAGAGTCGATGGATCCACGCAGTCGGTGGAGTCGATGGAACTCAGGATGACTGTGCAATCGGAGAAGGCCCAATGATCCGGTGAGAAGTCTGTGTGATTTTCTTCGTTTTCGCATCTTCAAATCGTTTTCTTTGTGCCCTTCCTATTGGTGTATAGATGGGTGATGGCCATCTATCGGGTCTATATATATATATACACGCATATAATGCGTATTTTTTGGAGATCGTTGGAGCAAACCGTAGCATGGAGCGATGACTGCGATGACCAAGGGTCCATGTGGGTCCGGTCGAACCGGGGACGATCGTTACTTCTTCCTCCCGAGGACCGAAGGTGGTGCCACACCCACTCAAAAGCACCGGTGCCAACGCAAGTAGGAAGTGCTTTGCAGGTGAATTGTTTCTTCTTATCCAGATTCTATGTCACTCGGCACTTGGATTCGTTCTGCTCACTGATGCTGCAAGAACCTGTCCCGCCGCTTTAGGAACTGTCCTGACGCTCTGCATGATGGGCGCATCAACTGTACAGTGCTTGGTCGAATTTCTGGGTCCCCGGTCCTCCGGGTCGCCGAACCGGGCGAATCACGGCTGGCTGAATCATGAAGGCCCAGAGCTTTTAGATGCACGCCCATTGGTGTAAGTCTATGGAAGAACATGGCACTTCTCGCATGGGGCGCGAGTTGCATAAACACTCGAAGTTGGGAGGGCAAGTCAGTCAGTTGGGCGCTTGCAGATCTACAAATCAGCTTTGCTAGCTAGGTCCTAGGTGCTCGATGTTGTCAAATCTCGCCCCAGTCTAGGAGGACTGCGACCTGAGAGATGTCAAAAGATTGCCATAGCCGCAGCAGGCCAGTGAGAGTAGCAACCCAGAAGCAGTTGCATGGAAGGTTCCTCTTTTGGAACGCATATGCATACCTCGTGTTGATACAGTATGTAGTAGATTGGTCTCCCATAGATTCCCTCTCTCTTTCTCTCTCTCTATCCCACAATCAGGGCAGCCGAGCAGCCCCGCATTCAAGATTGTTTTCCAGGGGCCCATGGTCTATCATTGTTTAAGGGTCGAGCAGGCTGTACTTTTCAGGCTGCTTCGTCCAAGCCATAGTTTGAAGCATAGTCATAGTGTTTTTACCATAAGAAACGTGCCATAAGTTTTCTAAGACAGGCAGAGGGGAAATTCAACACATCAAGCCAGAGAACTTTTCACATGGTTGAGATACTGTTGAATCCTTCCCAGGGTCGAGGTAGTACTAGAGGACGCTTATCCACCATTTGTGAGACTCCGGCAGTGAGAGGACCAGTTTTCGTGGTAGGGCTGGAAAATGATTTGAACATAATTGAACTTTAGCCTGTTTGCGCAGATGAAATCGCTAGAATCACAGCATCAAGCGTCCGCGGATGTTAGGGGGTGCCCAATGCGTGGCGTTGGTTCATCGCTGGCTACTTCAGGAGCTCTTCCTCAAAGAGGTCTTGCCCTACAGGTTGCCTGGGAGCAGGGCGCGCGCGCAGTACAAGTAATGGATCCATTTATGATAGATTGCCTTCATAGTACACAACTCTGGAGGTATGCTTATTATGCTGCATTTATGGGTGTAAAGCATGCAACAAGTTTGAAGTCTTCGTGCGTTTGATTTACAAGGCCATCGGCTAGTCTTCCAGTACTGCCCCTGTTGTGTTTTTTCATTGAGATCTTGGAGATCCTCAATAGGATGTTTGTGGGATCCGGCTTCCAGTTGAAGCAGTTTGGTCTTTCTTTGCCTTGCGGGAGGCACAATATTCCTTTTGCTTCTATAGGTGGACCAGAGTGATTGTTGAGTGGATGGGGTTCCCACTATGTAGAGCAATGTAGAGATGATAGGTCAGGTCCACTATCGAATGGACGCTGTCAAGACTCGCCAGGTTCTGTTTTCGTTGTCGTTGTCCCACAAGCTCCAAGTAAGATATCATAAAATATGACTCAAATGCAGGGCGGCTGCCAACAGTCAATGTCAATGACCAGGACAAGGTTCACTTCTGTTTGTCAATGTCCAAGTGTCAGATATCGAAACCCGACTCCTTTGAACGGCTTTCCACTCCAACACGATCCAACCAACAAAAGCTTTGCCATCCATTCGTTTCCACCAAATTCTCGATTAACAGTGGAGCATTTCCGCCTTTGTCGAGTCCAAATTGATTTCGGCCCGTTGACGTTCGCATGTGGACTGCACCAGAGAACACCGATGAATCAATGGCGCCAAGCGCGAAGTAGTCTGTAGTAGCGTCCGCACGTAGCGTCCGCACGTAGCGTCCGCACGTAGCGATGCAGGAGGAAGAAACAGACCAACTGCGCAACATTTGAAGATGTCCAGTGATTGCTGGGGAGTGTTAATTTTCAGGGGTGTAACCGACATAACTCGGAAATATATGAAACATACCAATTGTTGACGGGTATGTCCAGTGACTCAGTGAGAACTCATCAGCCCTTTGTGGATAAGCTTGTTTTCTAAATCTCTTGATGGAGTGATCAACGCTAATAGCGGCTGAGTCATTTGTAGAAAGGCATCACGAAGTGCATTAGAGATGTGGTCTTATCGATCCCCGATTCCCTCAATTTCTGCCCTGGTACATGTAACCGGTCCTCCAAGAGTTCGCAGTCTCTCACCATTTGCACATGTTGCTTCCCATGTCTGGTGATTGCCAGGGTGGTCGATGAGCCCGTGGACCATTGGAGGGAGGGCTTCTTCCAGGTCTTAGCGCGACCCCCGGTGTGACCCGCCGAACGAAGGACTCCCCGATAACACACCGTTCGAAGACCAAAGGGGTTACGCCAGGCGTGTGTTGACCTGTGTGTCTACTCCATGTGTTTGATGTTGTAGTGTGTGTGTGTTCTGTTGTTTATTTTCCTTGGCTGCCATGTTACATGTTTTTTCAGGTGGGTGGGTGGGTTTGGATCAGAGGGGTCAAGAGCTGATTGAAGGGTAAAGGCACCACTACAAAACTCAGTTTTTTGCATTTGGGATGGTTGTTGTGCTGATCAATCCTCGTACCTTGACATATATGGTTAATGTTGCTCCAGCTATTTGACCGAAACTTGTCTTCGTATCCAGGCAGTTTGGCGATGGGTTTTGGCTCCCAGGTCTTGGGAGTGTTTGTTTGCATTACCGTAACAAGGCACGCGCGAGGTTTGGGAGAGATCCAAGGTTTTATGAAGAAACCATAGATAGCGATCCTTGTCTTTGTTTATGTTTGTTTAGTATCTTTGTACGTGATTTTCTTTTGTCAAAAGTTGGCATAGTTTGCTAATACTAGGTACAGTCTCTTACATTCAAGATGCTGCATCCTTTCGCTGCAGTGTTCACCGATATGCGATCAGTTGCAGTGTTCAGTGTGCTTCCCTTCCCCCACCCACACACACAAGCATGGAAGTGGAATACTCCCTCCATGCAGAGGAAAATGTGTCTTCCAAGGGGCTATCTTCCACCTGCATGATTGTTGGAGGGAGTCGATTGTTGAGATGCAGCTGGAACCCACATAAAATTATCGGAATTATATACGTTCGTTTGTGAAAGTCATGCACGGAGTGCTGTTGGATGTGTTTCCACTGAGGCCCCGCATGCCATGCGGGCCACCAGCTTGCGAGGGGCCGTGGAGGAGTGACTGGGCTCGAGTGGCAGGGCTCCCCCCGGATGCCAGAGTCTCGAAGAAAGGAATCAATCTTTGCAGATGTTATGGTAGTAGATGGGCAAGACTACAATATGTGGTCAACCTTCGGGAGGCTTGGTTTTCCCAACCTCGGGAACCGGAGGGAATTCACAAAATGGCTGCAAAGGGTTCACCTCCAGCAAGCAGGCAGTGGGCATCAACATCACTTCCAGTCTGACGGTCAGCATGGGCTCATCGCTGGGCCCCAACACCAAACTCATTGCCCAAATTGTCCTTTCACTGGGTGTACCTTATATTTAAAGACACATCCAGGGTATATATATACCCTTACATGAGTCCTTACATGTTGGAATTTTTAATTTGGACATCCAGGTATCAATTACTCCATGGTACCCCCCATGTCCTTGACACCCCCGGTGTCCTTGGAAGATGGGCCATGAGAGGACCTGGTGCCCCGGATCTTCCAGGAGCTCCGTGCCTCGCCCAAGGCGAGCGTCATAGGTTGTCATAGGATACTTGAATCATCTTGAATCCCCCTGCTTAGCCGTGGGGCACCGTGACCGTGGGGCACCGTCCGCATATATTTACTTTAAGGTGTCATGTTACTTATATATACTGTATGATGTTTTTAAAAGTAGAATATTGCATAGAGAGAGAGAGATAAACCCAGATGGATCCCACATCCAAGATCAGGTGGCATGAACTTAATGCCTGGCTGCTTTTGGGAAAGGAACGGGATCCGGCAAGGCCTATTCATTCTTGGTGCTGTTAGTCTAGAGAGTTTGGCTGACAGAGCAACCACGCGGTGGAGTCCTCGTTTTCCAAACCTTCTTTAGATGGATTTACAAATGTTTTAGGAATGTTTGGGGGAATTAAGGTTGTAAACTGCTGAAAACTAAGGATGCAAACCCCTTTGCAAAATCACAGACAGAGCGGTTTGGACAATTGACAATCACTTCTAGAAGGCTGCCGTGATGTGACACGAATTTGGAGGGGAGTCAGTATGCTGTAGCTTTTTTTGGTTAGGACCCAGGGCGCAGCTTGTTCTTTCTCCATTGAAAATTGATGGGTTTTCCGGATGTTCTGTGGCGTGGAAACACTCCAGATGGATTTGATTCCTTTTTAGGGGGGATGACAATCATGTTCATCACCAGGATCTAGATGGATTTGGTACGTAGGTTTGGCTTGGCAAGATTCTCACAAAGTTTGGAGCATCTCCACATATCTCCACAATCGAAATCAGTTCGCTGTCCTAAGCCGCTTGTGAAGATGATCACCTTGTCCCAACGCTAAAGAAATCAAAAGAACATCAACATGATATAATAGTCTCCGCTTTGCAAAATAATACACGAACCAATGCGGTTCAAAAACACGCACAACCCTAAACCCCGGAGTTCCCATGTCTCATCACGCCCTCCGGCCGAGGGCGGTAACCGGTAGCGTAGGCCTTCCTTTCCACACATAACATCCTCCGGTCATGCAGGTCATGCGGAAGCCCAACCAGACGGCTGTCGTGTTCAAGTCCAATTTGACTCCTGAGATGATGGCGCGCCTCGGCCAAACACTGCCAGCCAGGTCGACACCGCGTGCGTGGGTTCCATAGCCTGGTGATCTTGCAGCCCTGGCGCTGGGTGGAAATGGCAAAAGCTACCGAATTTACACCATAGTGTTCCAGGATGGTTGCGGTGACACTGTTTCATCAGAGATGATGGACCGCTGCAAACGCTGTAACCCATGAGGGGGCCGCTGATCCTCATGACTATTAACAGGTTTCTCTCCCTTATTCATATTCGCCACTATCATCCACGCGTTTCACCGCGATTTGCATGGTCACTGCCCGGATTCCCATGCGGTTCCCATGCCCGGATCGACGTCATGTCGAGGCCCATCAGCGAGACCTTGACCTCAGGCTTTGGCAGAAGATGTGCGGAGGAAGGATGACCTGGTCATAGAACTGAACTGGTTCTTTGGCTTGGAGTTCTGCTCTTTTGAATATCTGCGTATACACCCAATGCAACTGGAGCCGTCTGGAGTTTGGACGTGCTTTAATTATCTTTAATTGTGTTTCATGTTCTGTTTTCATAGACCCTGGTTCACCCAGAAGCGATCACAGAAAGAGCGTTGACCGGTACCCTGTGATCCTGTGGCAACACGCATTGAGTTTGAGACACCAGACGCTGGGAGCCTTTGGATGCTTCTAGCACTGTCCCGCAGCCTTCGCATTCCAGGATAAGGGGAATTCTTGATTCTGCGTTTTCTTGATTTACATAATTCATTGTGATAAACCCTGAAGTAATCGCTTGGCTATGCATCGTCCGGTCGCCAACATCAGACCGAAAGACCAACCTGTATGGTCTTCGAATTGTCCTCGATCAGAAGTGAAGAGGGTCGGTCTAATTAGTCTTCAGTCCTCACTGGGCTGGGCTGGGAGGTGCATAGAAACCGGCCGCCAGGCTATGCCTCTTGCACCGGGAGCTCCATCTTGATTGTCGCGGGGGAGACCCAGGGTGACCCACCTTTGCCGGCCGAAGGTTGGGACGCACGTGTTTCACCACTCCAGAGGTGTGATCACTCCAAGTTCAAGTACCCAAGCCAACTGCAATCGAATCCAACAGTAAGACTGTAGGAATAGGTTTTGGAACCTATCCATACCTATCCTTCATACTGCATCATATGGCTTGATGAAACATATTGAAAGATTACCACTATCCCCAAGTGTGGTCGGATGAAGAACAATGACAAGATCTTGGGACAGATTCTGTCATGAGTTCACTTGAATCCGATGGACCCCATAAAATTAGGTGCCGCGTGCAGGTGGTTCAAGAGATATTTCAGGCTGCTTTCCCCAAGCTTCAGCCGCCAGGATGGCTTGCGGTCGGTGGGCATCCCAGCACGACTGGCCGCGAGCTCAGCAAGCTGGCAGGGGGGGTCGCTGCCGTGCGGTGAAGGACCACGGCACTTGTTGAGAAGGGTTTGTTTTGCAGGGTCCATGTGAACAACCAGCATTTGAGCATGAACTTAAGCGTGCTGGCCATTTTGGGGGACAGACTAAATTCAGCGGCCTTTGGACTTGGACGACACCTGAAGATTGTGAAGCTCCTGTTTGAAGAATGTGAAGATCGGCCTTGAATGGCCTTGTTTATCCGACTGAAACCTTTTCTTCACCGAACTGCGGCCTACATGTTGGATCCTCGGGATCCAACATGTCTTGAGTCTTGCACTCACCGTCGGGTCAACTCCCGCTTGGCAGCTTAGATAGGGACATACATCTATTTACAAGCCAAATGAAGCTACAGCAATTGTTTTGTGTTGCCGAGGTTGAATTTCAGGAGTGACAGTGAGAGCTACTTTGTTCAAGCTTGGGTTCCACTGTTTTGATTTGTGTGCTGGAGACCCAAATGGTACCCCTGCCCTTCTCAAACCGTTGATTCTTAGTAGCTAGACCAATCTTTAACCAAAAACATGCTGGCGTCGGTACGATGCATGTTGCAGGGAGGAAACCGCCACCATCAAGCACATCTGAAGACTTAGACGTTTTTGTGTGTCGCACCACCCTTTAACCTTGTGACAAGTCCTGTTGATTCACCAGGACCAAGTCTTTGCATCCAAAATCGGCAAGGAATGTCCACAACCCCACCAGGTTCCACATTTCTTCGGTCCGTTGGTTCAGAATTCCCCAGCTTTGGGAAGGCCATGCCGCTCTCAGGTTGGAACGCCGCAGTGGAACGTTGGGGGGCCTATGCCAGACGTCAGCCCACTGCTGTGAGGCTTGCGTAATTGGGGACTCTTGAAATGTTTCTTGCCTAGCCTTGGCTCGAGAGGCTAGAGTGGCTAGAGGCCAAAACACATGAACAACAAGCGAGAAGTGTGTTTTTTGCCAGGAATGGTGGACCCTCGCTATGACAGTCATCACAGGTGCGGTTCTAGCCGCCCGCCAGCTGCGCTGTGCCTGAGATTCCGACGGGTGGCAATCACAACTGGGTGGAGGTTTGGCCAGAGCCTCGGGCCGTCGCGCGGTGGACGGCGGTGGACGAAGACATTGGGAGCAACCTCACCAGGGTTTCAGTTTATTTTGTTTTACATAGCAGTGTAACTTTAACCTTTACTTGGGATAATTGAACCTTCTGACCACCAACCAGTCACTGATTTGGAGAGTTGAGGTCATATTCCGGCCATTTCTATCAACAAAAAGCCGACTTTCAGGTAGATGACAAGCAAGCCCTAGCCTATATAAGTGAATCACCCGATCGTAAAATGCAGGTATATAATATGATACATTGTGTTCCGAGGAGGGTGCGGCCAAAGTACACATTTCCTCGTCTCCGGATGTTCATTCGCAGCAGGGCATTTTATCATGTTTTTGATTGGCCGATAACATGATAGTAGCGTCCTTGCTCCTAGTAGCGATGCCCTTTGCTCCTGGTAGCATACAGCCTCCAAGAAGAACCTGTTAGTGAACATGTTATTTGCATCGACCAAAGTGTACCCATGCCCTTGCATACGATGGGGGTCTTGATGATGAAAAGACATGCCTCTCTTACCCGTCATACAGACCATTACAGAAATATTCTGGAACCGGTGTGCCCAGAAACACCAAAGAGGACACAAAAACGGCATATCTTAAAAAGCCGACATCAATGTTCATTACATTGTGTTGACCCCCCTCGAATCGCTGGCGCCCCCAGCTCCAAGCATTCCAATATCCAAACATGTAGCATAATATAACTTATGATCCCCTCCTTTACAAGTTGGGTGATCCAAAATATATGATATTTGTTTGCGGAATCAGCATCCCCATGCGCCAAATTACGAGGGATTGATTTGAATGTGCACGTGCTGAGATGACTTGGTTGTCAGGTATACTATACTCGATCCACCCAGTGGCCTGTCAGTGGTGTAGAGATTCGCTCAGGATAGGATGATCTCCTACAGACGTTTGGAGGATTGATCCTGAGTAAGGTGCAAATCCAGAGATCCCAAATCTGATATAGGTGGTGCCAAAAAGCTCCGGGATGGTACCTTTTTGTCAGTGATTCTAGACATGAGGGCGTCGATGGGGTCTTGGGTGCGTCCACGGGACAACACGACGGGATGTCATGTCTCAACATAAAGACGGAATCCTTCAATCTCAATCTGAAAAAATAGACACCAAAAAGCGACCATGGATGCTTCTGGGTGCTGGTCCTTAGCCTTGGCCCAACGGTGGGGGTTCGGGGCTGACACGCACCGTCCGCACCCCACCGCCCAACGGGCGCCAAGGACGGGCGATGGCTGGCACTTCTTTGATGTCGGGTCTCCGAGAGACTGGAACTGTCCGAGCGGTTCGTCCCCCAGTGGGTCGTGTGTTCAAAGGAGGACAGGGACCTGGGTGCCATGTCCAAAGTGTGAAACCTAAGGTTTGCCCCACGTATGCCGACGCTCTTGTTTAATACTTGATTTCCATGGTAGTTGAGTCCATCCTGCAAGAAACGCATCCAGGACTCCAGAATTGCCTCGATTCTTTAGTGACATTTAGTGGAGTTGGTTCAGTCTATATAGTCATGTATCAAAATCGATGAAGCCACTCTCATTCAGCAAAAAGGGTTTTACAGGGGCTTTTGACCAGTGCTCACATGCTTGGCCATGGTTGCCCCTGTTTGGGTGAATGGAATCTTTAGGGCGGCTTTGTCATCGGCATAGAAGGCAAATGTTGCAACCTGCTGGGGCAGATCACCTTCCAAACCTGTGGGTTGCAAGAACATGCTGCTCTTCTACCGCTTCTACCAAGTGCTCAGAGCAATCACCTGAGCTTTGCTGGACTTGGTGTCAATGTCCACCGATCTGGTGAGGCAGTGCCGGATGTTCGCTTGGATGAGGTGCCACTGGCTCTTCGGGCACTTAGCTTATCACTGATATTGTTGAGAACTAACAGTAAACCTTTGGCAGATGTTGGCAGTGTTGTTTTGCTTCAGGATTTAGGATGATTTCGGACGGTGTGGCCAGAAGTGTTTCCATGCCGTTGGTCTCACAACGTGCCTCTTGACCGTTGGGGATGTCACTGTTTGGAGAGCCATATGTGCAGCCTGTAGGAACCATCAGCCGGATAGCACCGGGTCATCACAACTGTCCAGACCGCGGCTAAGTATTACTGTTATTAAATGTGAGTTGGTGTGGATAAACCTTTTTCTATAGTCACCATATATATATATATATAGATTGAAGATTTGTTAGTTTGTCCATTTGGGGTCTCCAATGCATTGTTGGCTTTTGGCTATAGGTTGAATTGCAGACACTTCAGTGACAGATAAACGACGCATTGCTATGGGTACAGTCATTGTACCTAGGGCCCAATGGCAAATTTGCCTTGACTTGCCAGGCCTGGTTTGCGCCTAGCAACACCAAGTTTGCCAACAACAAGGATGGCGATTCCGAAGTTCCGAAGGGATTAAGCGTTGTACGTTCCGCCAAACTAGAGGAACGTAAGCAGGATGATCGGATGGAGCTGAAAAAGCAGCCACCCAAGGACTCTTACAACTCATTGGTATGAGGCATGCATGATAAAGCATGCATGCCCAACAGGGTCACTGTTCATGTTGCACGATGAGAGCGAGAAGGCTTTCGTTGCAATTTAGCAGTCAGGCAGCTCGCGAGTCTGATTCACACATCCCCGCAACAGCTTCCTGGAACTGGACATGAACCGCAGGCTGCACGTGATACACATGTGGATGAAGGTTCCATTCACCATCCTTCACCTATTCTGCTTTGATTTGTTGCGTTTGTTACATTGCATTCATCAAGTGTATGATTGAATTATTTTGACATCATCCAGATAGGAACATGAGCTCCTCATCCAAAAAACATTGGGCAAGAGCAGTAAACATAGTAAACTCAATTGGTTGGAACCTATTCTTATGCCCAATGCTGGGTTCAGATCTGAGATACGCAGTGGCTACGAGCCCGTCGAAAAACCGAAGGACTCGACACACGCCATCCTCTCGGCGGAGTGGACGAAGGGCGTTTCTGGGTTTCCAAGCCGAGTGGATGGAGGGTCCGTTCTGTGTCTGGCATGTGGAGTATTGTACTGATGACGCAAGAAAGATTCAGAAAGATATGATCCAAGCCTGACTGGACACAGGCCAGCATGTACATGATGTTACCTGCACAATCCTGCAAACCTACATTGCGGCCCAGGCTGCTGCCGTGACTTGTATAATCAATGGCGGCAAAATGTTACAAATGTATGTGCTACCCGCCCCCGTCATGTACCTACCTTTTTTGGGGGTTTTAAGTATTTTGCAAGTTGGAGCTGTCATGAAGCTCAGACAATTGTACTTCAAATGCAGCTAAATGCAAAAAGAGTCTGTAATTTTTGATTCAGTATCAAACTGTCCAAGAAGAATGTGATTGCTAAAGGCACTTTAAAAAGGACGTTGATTGTTTAAACGCTCCCGACGCTCCTGCTTGGACTTGGAGCTGCTAATGCTATTGTCGATCAATAGGCGAGGCTGAGTCTCCAATGAGTCAAGGTTTCAACAAATTAGTTAATCCAAGGCCAAACCTTCAAGATTCGAGATTGAAGCTTTCAGAGAAGTTGTTGAATCTCCTGACCAACATACATACATTTTGAAGGTTGGGGGCTTGGATTCAAGAATTCTTTCCTGAACTGCAGTTCTTTTGGGACATCCCTGCCCAGCCAGGAGTTCTCCTGGCTTGACAAAGAAGGATCTCCTTCAGGTTAAGACTCATCCACCTTAACCAGACCAGTCTTTGATTCACCGGGTTTGCTCAAGGATGCCACATATCCATTGACATGGCGAAAGCCTGCGGTCTTGTGGCGTGCGGAGGACAGCTTCCGCCCAGGAAGGCGGTCTAGATTTGAGGTTCCATCAGTGGGCAGGGCGCAGAATGTGCTGCGACTAACACTTGCGAGCAAGACTAATTAGACATCATACATGCTATATACAGTATTTTTGTAGAAGTGTTGGGTGTTGGGCATGCATTGCTTCGGATGTGTCCATGAATCCAACCTCCTCACAGACCCAGACTCACCAGGCAACCTTCGAATTTGGGCTTCGCCATTTTCTTGGCTTATGGGCAACTGGAGTACGCCCACGACCATTTGGCCTTTGTTAACCAACACCAATGTTAAGCTTTATGCCGCACGCCATAATTAATAACCTCTCAATAGTCGGCAGATGTCAGCAGCCTTCAGCCATTGCAGCCCAATTAGACTGCCCAGAAGGAGCATGCAGAAGATTTTGACACAAAGCGATGATTAGATTAGGCTGTTTTTTGCCTCTAAGGTCTTGCTGACGCCGCGCTAAGAACATACTCGTAGGTACTAGGTAGTTATTCAATGGACAGGAAGAACGCACCCAAAGTCGTGTTGCATGACTGGATGTCACGAGAAGGTCTATGGGAGGAAACTGCATGTGCAGTTATCACGGCATTGTAAGGCTGGATTCAATCAAAGGCCCTGCTGTAGACATAATGGGAAAGCGTGCACGACCGGGCCTGGTCGTGGGTTTGGTGGCAGCTGTTGCTCGGCGTTGCAGGGTGAGGGGTTTAAGCATCAAAAGGTACCTGTATAGGCCTCAGGCACACCATGCCATACCAAGGTTCAATGGGAGGGTCCCCATTGAGAAAGGCCTGCACTAGCAGCCATCACCCACTGAGACCTGTTAATTTGACGTACCCAAGTCATAGCCTGAAACATCCTCCAACGCCGACCAACGAGTGAACGATCGAGTTGGGGGTTGAAGATGCTGAAGCTTATTATCGAGCCTGTACGTGAAAGCTCAGCTCATTGAGGATCCCTTTTTTCGGGGAGCGACATGTTGTTCACTTAATGTTTGCATGTCCAGAAGTGCATCGCTTCAACGACGACTCAGAATTAATATTGGATTTATTTGATTTTTGATTCGCCACGAAACAGATCAGGACCTGGCACAAGAAGACTGTCGTCAACAAAACAGACATGCAACTCACAGGGAGGCAAAATGCTCGATGGCAAAAGGAAACTGGCCTTCACCCCAGAAGACGTGCGAGAGGTTTTTGCCCAAGAGACTCATTTGAAGACCTTGTGAATTTTGCCATGGCCATTTTTCACCGGAGGACCTTTGATCAAAGACACTTGAGCCTTAGGACGCCCGCTTGAGCCCAGGTGCTTTGCAGTCAATGTCCTGCCTTTAGCAGTCGCACCCCTCGGGCGACACGCGTCCCCCGCGCCGCGAGCGGGCCCAGTGAGGGTCGGGTGCTGCGCGTGCTCGTGGCTTGGCTTGTGGGGTTTTGCCCAGTGGAACCTCCCTGGTTTGTAGGGGAGAGCTGGAGGGGCTCCACACACTGCCGAGAGCACTGCCCCCCCGACAGTGCTTTTCTTTCGAGAGATTATGTTTGCAGCTGCGAAGGATGAGAATCAGATCCACCTCCCCGGAATGCTTGACCGATCGCAGATTCATGCCAACCATGATATACTGTATGTTAGTATGTTTTCAAGCATAGACAGCATAGCTGGGAAAGGAAGGACTGCAAATTAGACATGTTTGCAAAAGCTCCAGCGGGACAACAGGGCTCAAAAATACAAACATTTTGGTCAGTTGAGCTGGACGTTCCTTAAGTGGAGTTGCAGGCTCGAATCTTGGGATGTTCCTTTGTTCCGGCTCTCTTGGCTTAGGCTTTGGGTTTCTTTCCACTCGTTCCACAAGAACGGCTTGGAGACTGATTGCTCATCTTTCGGAACCACGCTTTGGTGAGAGCTTCCCCAAATCTAAATCAAATCAAATGTAGACTCTTGATTAATAAGCCCACCCCAAGTGCCCACGGGACCACGGGAGGCTTTTATTCATCGAGAGCCGATCTACATTATCAAAGAAACATCAAGCAACCTTATGGATCCTTGGTGAGGCCCCGGGCATCCTCGGAATCAACCGCTGCTGCTAGGTACCCATCGCTGAAGACTCCGAGGAGATTGAAACGGCCTGCATCACCGACGTGCTGACGCGCGCGGGTGCGGAGGTGACCGTGGCCAGCTGCAGCGAAGCATTGCAAGTTCGCATGTCGCGCGGGTTGAAGGCGAAGGGTTGGACGGGACGTCCAGTGCGGTTGAAAACGCTGGTAAATGTTCACATCGATGCATTGAGCCTCGTGAAACATCAAGTCCCAAAAGGTGTAGAAGAAGACAGCAGCAGCAGCAGCAGCCGCCGCGGCAGCGGCAGCGTTTTCCTTGTCTCCTGAATGTTGGTCAAGTTTCGTCTGGAGTCAGACCTTTAGTGGGGAAGTTGGGATTGAGGGGTTGGCCAAAATGGTAGCCAAAACTGGCTCAGTCAGACCCAAAGGATTTTGGTTTGTGTGCGGGATGTTGAGCAAGCTTGAACAGATCCAGAAAGCCTATGTTCATGTTGAGAAGGGGCCTGGCCAGGTAGCATCAGTCGCCTTTCGGCCACGCCTCAGTCGAGTCGAGACGCTTCCTTCAAAAAGTATCATGATTCATGACCTCATGCGGATGGACTTCGGCAATTGGTGGGTCCGAAGTCGATGATGCCGAATCTTGCCAATCTTTTTTCAAGAGGGAGAGGCAGGTGGGGTGAGGAGGGTTGAGGGGCCAACCAGCCCTATGAACTCCCTAAATGACAAAAGAGTTGTTTGCTGCAACGAGACCGCTCCATACGCCTCTACAGTATTTGGCAAAACAGTCTTCACCAGCCATCCCATTTGCAGGTGGTGGCCGACAAAGACATCAGCGACTGCAAAGGTGTCGCTTGGGATGCGATCGCACTACCAGGGGGGATGCCAGGCGCCTGTCTTTGGGACACTTGGCCGTGCTGTTTTGATTTGGATGGGCATCGGTCGGACGGTTCAGCGTTTGGGAAACCCAAGAGATGCATGGCATGGCGTTGGTTTTGTGCCCTAGGTCTAGGTTGAGGCACTTTCTTGCTCCTCCCCATGGTGGTATCAAAGTGGATCACCCTCAATTAAGCACCAAGACTTTCACTCAATCCTGCTACGCTACCCGGTGGTTCCTTCGTGGAACGACCTTCACCCACTTGTTCTCGCTTGCAACCTGGCGCTGTCCCGTCACAGGGGCGGAACACCTTCGAGACAACCAAGTTCTCAAGGAGATGCTGCAGGCAGGCAGGGATTCTCGAATCCACGTGGTCGGTCGGGGCTGGATGTGCTTGAGTTGGGTGCGTTTGAGCTTGCCAAGACCGTTAGTTAGTTCACACTTAATTTAGTTAATGTTTCAATTTCTGCACCTGACCCCTAAGGGCCCCAAACCCCGTGCTTCCATGTGCTTCCGTATGTCACTGTGTGTTTATCAGTCCTTTATTGTGGATGGCCCACCCTTTATCCAACGAACATGGAAGTGGATGGCATGTTTTTTTGGGGAGGCTACCTTCAGTCCTTTGCAAGCAGGGAGTGAACTTCACCAAACCATGTGAGTTGGGCTGTGAAGTTGACCTGTCCTGCAACCACGGTATCGCGTTGGTGACCATCGAAAAATGCCTGAAAGATCATGCAAGTGGATGGCATGGCCCCTGAGATGACTGATTTTCCTCTCCAAACAGGTGGGTTTCCACTTCCATGATTCTTTCAGGGAGTATAAGCAAGAGATATCAAACCGGGCCAGTGGCCCATCCACCCTTGCAGCTGCAGCTTTTGCATGCTTTTGCTCCTCCGCGACAAGGAGCAAAAGCTCAGTGGTCGCTTGACCTGTGCGGTTTGCGCAAGTCCTGCAGTGGTCTTCGCCCAACATGGACTCTTAGAGCCGCTTGGCGCTGTTGCACAGGCCGTCCGATGGGGAGACAACAACAGTCAACAGTGGGGATCCCCGTTTGAATTTCCACTCTATTTTAGTCGGATTCTTGGGGTGTGTTGATTCTGCAGCACAGCGCTGGTGTGGAGGAAGCAAACGGAGCAGGGTCAAATTCAACGTTCATTCTCAGCCAAAGACCGCCAACAAGGAAGGTGCTGAACCGCTAATTGACCCCTTCAACTTTTGACGTAACTGGAATATGGTGATTTGCGAAGTCACTGCAGCCAATGCGGAAGTTCAATTCAACAGCCAATCAACTGTCAGTCTTACCGTCCCTTTCAGTTGGGCGGCCAAAGTATGGCGAGAGGTTCAGGTGTGTTCGACTGAAAGCCATGAAACACAGAGCACAAACCATGCGACGACATCACATGGAGAAAAAGCCGCTGCATAGACAGAGACCAAAGCTGTAAAAATCAAAATCGCAGCCTTTGAAGAGCAGCCGTAAGAAGGGGATAGTGGTTTACCGTTTATATATTTATATCCCTTTATTTGGTGTTTTGCGCGGTGGCCACTGTGTGAGTCTGGATGCAGGTTTGCCAGGAGGTAGATGTGTCACTCGCTTGACATGAGAGTTTGGTGCCAAACCAAGGAGCAGCGCCACCTGCTATCCTGCGCCGAAGTTCAAAGAGATGGTGGGTTCCAGTTGGAAGGACCCAAGTGCGATGGGTGTGTGACGACAAGCAGACACTCCATGCAAGCAAAAAACTTACTCTTGGGATCTCTTGGGTGACCTGGGTAGGCTTATATAAATACTATATGGTTTCCTGAGTGGTTTGCTGGTGAATGTAGTTCATATTGACATTCATGGAGTATTTTTGGCATTATTCACCGGCTACAGGCCCTACAGGCACAGCATCGATCCGCTGCTTCCTTGCGGATGCAACAATCCCGACTGGTGAGAACTTTTGTCTATGGAGAACGGGTTCTAATTGTCGTTTTGTGGTGGGGGAGGGTGCGAGATTGTGAAGAGGACAGTCCCAGGGTGGTTTAGAGCAGCGCCTGTCCTGCTCGGAGCTTTTGTTTGACGTGCTGTATGTGATTTGCGTGGCCTGGATGTGCGTTTGCCAAGCTAGTTTTAGTCTATGCCGATTGCAGTTGACAGGATTCTTTCCCAGCAAGTGAACCGTTCGTGAACGTGTTGAAAAACAGTTGGGTGGATTAGAAAATGAGTACATTATAGTACGTACCAGGTATCCACAAAGCTTTGAACATCCTGGAACGGATTGACAAAGTTCCTTTTGGCCTTTGTGTTCTTCATAATTCCAACAGGTCGACTTTTATCCCGTTTCGCTGACGGTGAGCAACCACCTTGCGTTCCTGTTCGATCTTTTCAGCCAGTCTGCAACAACGGTCGAATCCCAATCCTAATCGCAGCAACAACTTTGCTTCACATATATAGGTTCCCACTTGCGACAATTGACTGCTACATACTGCTAATGTGAGTTGGCAAACAGAGAGGCCCAAGGCTGCTGATGGTTACCAGATGGGGGGAGCTTTGCAGGAAATCCTGCAAACAGCACGAACAAATTAGGACGAAGGGTAGTTTTCGAGATCTCGACTGATGTCAATGACTTGGCGAAAGCCGGCTCATAATGTAGACTCTTGATTTACTGTAACCATTTGTAACCGTAAATTACATATATACTTGAATCAAAGAAGAGAATCAAGGACGATGCCTTGACTTTGATGATCCTAAAGTACAGCTCCTTTCGGTTTAACGGTTCAACTCCGTTCCCTCCGGATTCTTGCAGAAAACTTTAGATGGATTGTAAAACATATGCAAACCTTTATCATGAAGGGAGAATTTCTCGCCGCCACATGATCATCCTGTTCACTCAGAAGTTCCTATTCTCACATTCCCATCGGACTTAGCTACGGTCCCTTGGCCTAACTGGACAGAAGTTAAACAAGAATCTCATGGGATTTTCCTGAGACAGGTTCGATCTGGCTTGCTTAGATACAAAGCCTTCGAGGACCTTCGACATCCGGATATAAATTAGATGCTTGAGAACAATTGGCCATACGCCGGGTTATTTCAAGTGACCATTCTCTTGTTTGCCGTTCGCTTTTGTACCTTCCTGTACCTTACTAGCTGCCTTAGGTTTCTTTTCTCACTTGGAACTTCCACCTGCACCCGTCACAATATGTGACAATGGGTTGGCATCCAATTGGGGTGGGTTTATTAATCAAGAGTCTACATTAGGGTTGGGGAAGCTCATGGAAGCTCCCATGTTCCACTTCCAAGCTTTCCACTCTTGGCCCTCCCTGTACGCGCCACCGGGCTGACCACGGGTGGATAACGTCCAGATGGCGCTGAAAGAATCTGAAAGGCCGGCCATGCTGAGCACATTTGGCACAGCAACAGCCCCGGCCTTCACCGAGAAACAAAGCAAAGCACAAGCAAAGCGAAGCCCAAGGACCCAAGGAGCGAAAGGATGCAACAAGACCAAAGGATCCAAAGGGCATTTGTGTTCCGTCAGGTCGGCTTGAATCCATCTGTCCAGGGTGCATACTTCTCAGGCCTCATTGATTGTCAGAACCGCCACAAGGCGCCTCGATTTGGTCCACCTTGCTTCCTTCCAAGTAGGGAGTCTCGAAGTTGTACTGCACCTGCCGAAAAAAGATGTTTTCTCAATGTGAGGTGCGAACTAGACACTGTTGCTGCCATCGAGGAACGTATCGCTTCTGTACCGACTCGTTATTGGCCGCAAAGCCCCATTTATTGCTACATCGCGGGTCCTCAAGCTGTTCTAACAAACAAATCCAGTTTCCCCTTCTTCGGGATGCTTTGTGGCCAAACCGTGGTTTCAAAAGGTGAGCGACCAATCAGTCTCCAAGCCGTTCTTGTGGAACGAGTGGTGTCAAGAGAGCCGAAACAAAGTTCGATCTCCAATGGTAGCGCCATGCCGCCCGGGTGCCGGAGTCTCTGTCAGGATGCTCAAGCGGTGGTGGATGGCAACGTCATTACCAGCCAAGGGCCTGGCACCTCGTTACTCGGCTTTCAACACCCACGGCATGTGGGACAGGTGGATCAGTCGGTGGATGAAGGTTGGAGTTGGTTGGACCACCAGTACCACCAGCAATGATACTTGCATAATTTTTGTTCGGGGGGGTTAGGGACCAAGTCTTTTTTGGGGGTGAATGCCTAATTAATGTTGGATGGTTTGTGAGGTTTGGTGTTTTAAGGGTGGTGCAAGGTTTCCTCGAAGCACATGTTAAAGCTACTAGACATAGAAGTTTGCCTACAACTGACTGAACTTGTGATGAAGCTATCGGTCATTATAGGTCAACATGCCAGCATCAGCAATTGGGCTCATTTCTTGCTCCGGATGGGCATTGTCACAGGCTGCAGTTCGCTTTGAAGATTGTCGAAGAACTCTATGGGAAGGACAAGGCGCAGGACACTGAACAAAACAAAAGATAAACATAGCGACGCACCAAGAAGCAAAAGCTGGTAACAAGCCAAGTGGTGTGGGATTATTTTTTGGGAGTGTTTCTGCTGGGGCCGAGGGGGTTGCCTTGGCCAAAGCATTTTTGAGGAGTTTCGGGTGTTTGGCGGCCTTGTATGGTGCAAAGCCGGGGATGTTCAGGCAATGAGTTTCTGAGATTCACACTGAAGCGAACACATGCCAGCCGAGACTTGCATGTCTTGAAAAGACTGTGAGGCCATGATTGAACATATGGGGAGGCTGTGAGTCATTGAGGATGCGGGCCCCTACTGTTTGAGTGGCCCCCCGCAAGAGTGTACAACAGGTCTATAGTCTATATTTTTGTTGGAAAGGCTGTCCATTACAGTAATCATTGTAAATTAATGCATTTGGTGACGTGTGGTGATGTCTATTAATGATATCAAACCCCACGCCAAAGTGGAAGTATGACTTGTCAATTCATAACAATCTGAGTATGATGAATTTCTCAAGGACATTCCAGGTTTGTCAAATATGTGTCCAGATGCATTGAACCCGGGCAGGCGGAGGAGTTGGCACAGCAGATGGTGACCAAGACCGCCTGACGACGACGAAACAGCCGGGAAAGAAAAAGGTGCACGCAAAGACAAGCAGCGGCACACAGTTCCAGGTGGCTGTCCACTGTTTGTTCAATTATGTTTTTCCACAAGCTGAAGGTGTCAAACTGGACGTTTTGAAGATTATGTCGGGCTGCCACTGCAACTCTTTCATGGTGCGCTGCCTCACCTGACTACGTGACTGGTTACAGTAGAGCATCTCCATTTCAACCATTTAACCTTCGACAGGTCACCATAGGACCCGAACATATTACCTATTCACTGAATGTTACCATCATGTGCGCCGGATATCGCAATGAACCGTGTTTGCATCGTGCCAGACATTTATATATTTGTAGATAAGCCCACGCACCCCACAAAAGGGTTTGGGCCCTAGAGGACGCGTTTTCGAAGGTCTTAGTTGAAGAGAGCCTACTTTGGACTCGGATGGCTTGGCTGTGGAAAGCACGACAGGGCCGGACGGCCTTCTACCTGGCCAAGAGTGAGCAGAGTTGATAGGTGTCACTCATACATTCAGTGACCTCAAAAAATCGAAGAGGACAATCTGCTGAGACTCGGATCCCGCAAGATTTGTGTGGTCTTTTCAGTTCTGTCAGAAGATGTCAGAAGTGCCACGGGCTGTTTCACAGGCCTCGAACCCTTTGAAATATTGTAGGTTTCACATAGAAAGAGCCACAACGGGAAATGTATGATTTGTGCATAAGAATCAGAAAACATCACAATCAACAAATATATACGATTGCACATACTCTGTGTCAAGGCCCCGTCTTGAATCTCCGAATTAAATTTATGTAGAATGTGTATATTAAGTACATTATATCCGGTGCATGGTGTCATGTTGTCTCGGTGTCTCGGTCATGTTAAGGTGGTGCCTCGGTCAACTGTTAGGTGGAATTTGGGCTATGTTTTGGCGGTCGGCAATGTTTAGGTGGGGGTTCGAACATGATTAGGTGGTGGTTGGGTTACCTATTAATATTTTGTGTTAATTAGCAAAATCCCCTTGACAAATAATTTAGGGAATCTGAAAAGTAGGCTGCAATAAAAACTAGTAGTAGTAGTAGCAGCAGGAGTAGTAGTAGCAGCAGCAGGAGCAGTAGCAGTAGCAATAGTATTGTTAGAATTGAATTTGCAAGAATAATAATCGTAATAGTCGTAGTGCACCTCAAGCAGCAATGGTGGTGGGGGGTTGAGGGTATTGATCAATATAGACAATATCTAATTTAATAATTAATAATATATAAATATATTGGATTAATTTGGAGAAACCAATATATATTTATGTTTATTAAATTAATTTGGACATATGAATAAATGGATGATTATATATTTTTTTCTTTATTATATTGATACGATATTAATTGATATTTTGAATTATTTTGATTATATTTTTATGAATATAATATGGAAAATATATTATATTTTATATTACGAAAGGTAGCTAGGGGATATCTTGAGTTTGTCTTGCGAAGCAAGTGTGGGGACGTTCGGGTTTAATAATTAATCGTTTAATATAGACGTTTTTCTTTCTTTCGAATTGATTTTTTTATTTTTTTTAAATCTAGACCTTTCTCCCCCTCCGGCCCCTTGGAATTGATTTTTGAATATAGATTCCTTTTCCGTCCTTCTTTCCTTCTATAATTAATTTTCTTTTGGAGAACGTTTTCGTGAGCTTCTTATGTTTTTAGGATAATTGAAATCCTCTTGAATATTTAGAAAGAATGAATATGAAATTCTAATTGCGAAAGATATTTTTCGAGGGGATATATATTTAGAATTTGTTTTATGAAATACGTTATTTTTTTCTTGGGGAACGCTTTCGTAAATCTCTTATGATTTTAGGATAATTTAAATCCTATGATATTCCGATTTAATATTTATCGATGATTTGAACCATGGAGTAAATTCGTTTTCTTAAGAATTTTTTTGAATATTTCGAGAGTATATGTAATATATATTTGAGTATTTAAAATGTATATAAATATATATTTATGAAAAATCGCTTTTGAGGGGATTAATTATTATATCGAATATTGCGTTTTTGTTTCTCGTATTTTCTTCTTTTTTCGTTGTTTTACCTTTCGTGTCTCTTTTTTTTTAGTTTTATAAAATATTTAAATATTTATGGAATAAATAAATTTAGTTATAATGTAAGGATTATTGCCTTTGTCGTCGATTTCGTAGAATAAAAATTTTGAAATGAATTATATTTTTAGATATATTATATATCGATAATTTTGTGGAAATTTTGGATATATTAAATGGATTTTCGCCAAATATGGTTGTTTTAATGCAATGGTTATTTAGGATTATAAGCCTTGTTTGGAAGTCTGTATGCACCCGTTGAATATTGGTTTTTGTTTGTAAGTAGCAGGCGGCGAGTGTATTTTTGACATTCTAGGTCTGAAGGGTCAGCAACTATTGTTATTAGGTTCAAACATATTCAAAAATGACCCTACGATAGCACAGCTGCTGTAGCGCAATGAAGCGGCCCAGCTCTAAAGCTGACATGAAGAGGCCTGCCAAGGCAGTTAGCACGAAGGTGAAGGCCGATAAGAAACTCAAGAAAGCCAGGACCAGGGCTTGGGGCCAATCACAAAGGGTGTGGGTGGCTTAATAAATGGAATTCTGAAACCACCAAAAATTCATTTGAAATTGCATCAACAATGCAATTTTGAGATTGCATCAACAATGCAATTTGTTTAATTAAAGCCATGCCAAAGCCGTCTGGGTCTAGTTTCTTAATTTGTTTGAAGTTAAAGTATATACACCGTAGGTCCTTATATTGGTGGGTTTCGCCATCTACGTCTAATGCCAAACGAACCCAATGCCAGATAAGTTGATTTATTTAGAACTAATTCTGTTGGGCACCTTTAAACGGAGTCACATGTATTGCATTTTCTCAAGTTAGCTGGCAGGGAAGTTAGCTGGGGAGGCTAGAGGGGTATGTTATTATCTTCTGACGATGAGCGTAAAGAACACGTTCCTTGTTTTGCTGAAGGCAAGATTGAAAAAAGAAAAGGCCATGAACAAATTAGTGTAGATGAGCTGGTGGGCAGGCAATGCCGGTGCCAGCAAAAAACATGTTTCCAACAATTTGTTGGCTATGAGAGAGCCGTCACTGCCAAGCGGTCTGACTTGGCATCCCTGGATCCTGAAGATCGGATAACTCAGTGATCTTTATATGAATCTTTTATGATGATGGTTCTCAATTTTTGTACTTTTTGAGGTAAACCCTAATGAATCCTCCTTGTCTTTCATAGTTTCAATGCGTAGAACATAAGGAACACGCAGTCCGAGACTTGTTCAACTGCAGCAAGCTCTTCTCCACAGCTGCTCCTGCAGAAGATTGCCAACCCCCTGACTCTGATTGTAGCTTGCTCGCGGCCACTGAGTCTGAGGGGCCTGATTGTGCAGCTTTTGGTCTAATACACACCAGCTCTGATGAAGGCAGCCTTTTGTTGGCTTCGGATGCTGATGAGTCCAAACCTGCCAAGCGAAGGTATGAGAAACGGAAACATCAGATTTTTTTCCTGGGAAAGGAGGTCTGTGTTTATGCGCTCCAGTCACTGCTGGGCATAGATACCAGTACTATCCAGAGAATCCGTCGTGGAGAGCCAGGGTACACAAACCAGAGAAGGAGGAAGTCACCGAAGCACCCAGTCTTTGGCTTCAGCATGGCTGACAAAGATGTTTCCACAAAGTGGGCTGGTATGGTAATGTTTCTGTGGAAAACATACCAGAGTTGCGCCGAATTGATGCCGACAGACTTCAAAATGCCAAAAAATGAGGAAGCAGAAGTGCCCGAGACCAAGGACCCAGACCTTGAGATTCGCTTAGTGAATCACTTCATACAAAGTCTCCAAACCTACGCCGCTGATCCTGACCTGCACCTTGTAGGGCCTGGCACTTTTGCTAGACCATGTCAGCGGTTACAAGTTTCAAGCAGAACCGAGCTCTACTGGGAGTACTATGCTGCATGCTTGGCGGATAATGCAAGCCCTGCCAGCTACTCAACGTTCCTTCGTGTGGCTAACGCCATCCTACGTCCAGGCATGCGGAGTGGGCACTTGAAGTTCAGAGGTGTGAACCAGCATGGCAAGTGCAATACTTGCTTCGAGCTAAAACTCAAAATCAAATCTGTTCACAAAAGCGAACAGCGCCAAGAGGCTTACCGCCTCTACTCGCACCATCTTCTATCCCAATGGCTGGATAGGCAGTACTGGAGCTATAGAGCTATGTCACATTGCTGGGTGAAAACAATGGTGGACATGGGCACCTGTCTTGAATTGCAAATTTCAATGCCTTGTTTTCAGATCTTAACTTGCCTTCAATTGGTTATTGCCTGTTCGGCCAACCATCCCGGTTCATTAATTGATTTTTTTGAGCCCTTGAATTGCCGGCTATAAGGATGATGATTGCATCTGCGGCGTCCAGCTGTCTATGTATAAACATAGACGGCATGGACCAATCCAAATTTCGTCTACCAAGGGTTGCCAGGGTCAATCAACCCAAAATGTTGGCTGGCTTGTTCAGGCCAACTTTGCACGTGACTGGCAGCTGGCTGCATGGAGTTCAACTCCACTTTTGGGTCAGCGACGAGGACCTCAGGAAGGACAGCGAAACGCAGCAGGAAGTGCTGAGCCGCACCCTGGCGCATGTGTACCAGCGGTTCAACACACTTCCCTTGGGATGTGCTTTGCAGCAGGACAACTGCTACAGGGAGGGCAAGAACAAGCACATAGTAGCCCACATGATCATACTGGTAGCTCTGAGGTGCTTCAGGTTCTGTGTCCTCAACTTCTTGAGAACAGGACACAGCCTTTTGGATTGATTTCAACCAAATGCTTTTCATTGTCAGCTAATGTGGGGGTGAGTCCTGAAAACGCCTTTTTTGCCTTGTCCTCCTTTGGAATTATATATAAGATCACGAGGACCTGGACCAGGCCTTTTCCCAGCAGGCTGCTATCATATGCCGCCATACCTTTGACACTCCGGACCAAGTGGTTGAGATCATGGACTCTTCGTGTCGTCCTACTGATCCTGGAGAACAACAGCGGAAACGTCACAAAAACCACAAGGTTGAAGCTTCTGCTGCAAAGCTTGATGAAGTGGCAGAATGGAAGGATTGGGCTGCAGTTGCCGGCGTTTGGGTCAAAGGATTGCGACACTCAGAAAAAGAATAGAAATTTTTCTTTTCTCAAGTGGTAGGGATTTCCTGGACGACTTATACCTTGCTGATGCCCTGAAGTCTTGTTCTCCGGACATGTTGGATCTATACACATCACTCGCCGATGTAATGTTGATCCCAATTCCATGGGCTGGTGCACTACGCAAGAGCTTCGGGGTGGCTATGCGCGCAAACCTGGGGACATTATCCTGATAGCAAAAAAGAGGATGGCTGATGCAGAGCCATATGCTGTGGTGGTGGTCATGACCGAAGATCGTGCGCGCGCCTTGGAGCTTGGATTCCAACAGCCACTTGGCGTGGCTGCACGGAGGCCGTTGAGTGAGAGGGTCAAAAAGAACATCAAGTCAGTGGCACCTAAATGCTTCAAACACAATGTGATCAACCAGGATGCTCTTTCATACCTGACTCGTTGGAGTCAGGGGGACTGGCCATGCCAGCCGAGACCTACAGCCTACAAGCATCTAGTCCATAGATGGCCGGTACCTTTTGCTTTGAGTCTGGCCACTCCATCTTGGGAGATCCCAAGTCGGAGCAAGCATGTGGATTTGACATATGCAGTTGAGGGGGGCGATGACGGCGACCCTTCTGATGATGATGATGATGATGCAGTGCTTGCGCCAATTGACATATAGAAAATGGACGCCTCAATTTTTTTTGAAACAGTTTCTAGTTCTGACCATCATTTGAGTGTTCTGGTCTTGCTTCAACCCTGAAGGAAATCCAACGCTGACCATGAAGAAACATTCTTTTTGGCCAGTGATGCAGAGGACAGAACTGATCAAGTGGTATTACTAAGCTTATTAAATATGTTTTGGAACCTTTAAGTTTAAGTTATAACATTTCATAATTGTCAACCTCCCAATTGGGGGCACAGCAATTGATCTATGTTGGAATGAGGCTCCAGGCCGAGGGCTCCGAGTCCGAGATCCTGGAGGCTTCGGACGATGGCCTGGAAAGCCCTGCTGCTGCGCCTCGTTCTCCTTTGCCCTGCATGAGTGTGCCTTGGCATGGCGCTCGATGCAGCAGTGTTTTTGAAACCTTGTTTTGGAGCCTGATTCTTCTTTGGGTGAATGCATACTATTTGCGCTCACCAGTTCTGAACCATCAAGGTTTCCAACATCATTGAGGAGCTCTTGAAAGTGGATGATGTTAAGGGCTGCCTTCAGTCTACTCATGCTGCGCTGCCCTCCGGAGATGGTGCTATTAAAGTGAAGGTTGCGTCCATTTGCAGCGGTCTTGGAGTTGCAGAGATGATCTTTGATCAGTTGAACCCTGCATTGAAGGAGCTACTTCACTCAGGTCGAGCCTTGAAGGCAGGATTGGCGTCCAAAGTCAATATTATGGTTCTTTTTTAAGTTTCAATGCCAAATGTTTAAGCCCGAAACGGTTCCCAAATGCCCTGCAGTTTGAGAACGAGTTCATGTGCGAGATTGACACATGGAAATCAGATTGGATCAGCAAAGCGTTTGGGGCCAAAATCATCTTCGAGGACATGCGATGCTTGGGATCTGGCTATGGGAAGGATGCTGTTACTCAGCAATACCTCCAAGTGCCCAAGGTTCGCTGGGAAAAAAAGTCATCAAGCACGAACCCACCAAATAGTTGATCTATACAAATCAATAGTAGTATGTGATTTGACATTGGGCTTGCACCCTGTCGAGGTGGCTGGACTCACTATCGGATATCCATGCAAATCAATCAGCTCACAGAATGGATCACCCAAATCATTCTTGGACGAGAGCTCGACCACTGGTGGTGGCTTCCGAGCTCTTCTGGCATACTGTGATTACGATGAAGATTTAGAATGGGTGATAACAGAGAATGTGAGAAATTTGACACATTCTCGGAAACAATTTGGAGGTGAATGCCCCATCCACCTACAAGATTCAGAGCTTGAAAAGCGGGGATTCATCCCAACCCATGCCCTGATCACTTCCAGCGAATACGGGGTTCCCCAATCCCGGACCAGATGCTGGGGTCTTTATGTGAAAGCCACCCAGTTCAGGCAGTTTGGACCGGACCCACGAAGTTTGTTTTTGAAGTTGACATGTCCGCCAACACCCATTGACAAAGTGGTTGACCCGGCATTGGCCATTGAGCGTCCATCTACTCAAAGGGCAGCTTCGGGCAAGAAGTGGGAGGAAGATTTCATTACTATGCAGAAAAAATTATGGGAAGGTATCAACCAGAAACAAAAGCACAATGTGTTTCATGCCAACCCCAAGTTCCAATCTTTTGCACCAATTTAATCAAAACACGGGCCTGGATTGGGGTTGTCTTTTTGGATGCACCTGCCCCTCAGGTAGCTGTTAAGACAAACCTCAAGGCGCTGCAGAAGAAAGGTTTGCCCTTGACCGCACGGGAATTGTCCATCGCCGCGGTCGCCGTGACAATCCTCCAGCAAAGGGGCATGGACCCATTCGCTCACACAATGATCATTCAGGTGGACCAATCCTTAGTCAACGGTTCTATTCTGTCTAGACATGTCCAGACACAGCCATCTCACCCCTTCATCTAAGCACACCTGAGGACCAAAACTATGAAAGGAATACATTTTGCAGTTCAAATCCATGGTTGTGCCCTTGCCTGATTCCCAATGGCAAGTACATCATATCCTCTCAATGGAGATTGCTTTCTGGACAGGACCGGTGCCGGTGAAGGCAATTATACCAGTGGTTGTAACCTAGCTTGTTTTCAATCTATTGCGGTCCACATTCTTACATCTCTTGAAACCTTGGAACATCCCAATGGAACAAGCAAACATCCCAAGTTTACTGTGATTCATCCTGTAGATTGCATCCCCAGGAGAAATTGAAATTGCAGGGCCTGGGTTTGGACGACATCACCAAGTACAAGCTCCACCTGCTTACCGACAAGCAGCAATCCGATTTGGCTGGAAACTCGTGCTCCCCTTATTTTCTTGGGGTAACACTGTTTGGGTTTAGTTTGAGGCAACCGGATATATGTTTTCAACTCATGAGTGGTGAGATTCACTAGTGGGGTTTGCACTGCAGCGATCCTCACCATCCTCTGCTGCTGGCAACCATCCAAGCGTGTTGCCCAATGAACACGCTTGCTGAGCTCTGGCCTCTAGCTAAGCTTAATTCATTCTAACTTTGCGGCATCACCTCATTGGAAAACATCCAATGAACAATGTAAATCAACTTCATAGCCTGGTTCAATCAGCCACGGGGTGATTTTTGCTTCCAATTAGAACAGACTAGCCTGATTTAGATACTTCATGTGCAGGAAAAGCGCTTTTCCAAGCACTGCAAGTTTATACTGTCATTGAAACAATAACTAATAGTAACTAACAGCAGATCCTTTCCCATTGCCGCTTCAGTATGCCAAGAATCCTTTCAACATGCTCTCAGCCTCAGCTCAAGAACAGGACTTACGGTGGGATGGCCCCCAAGAAGAAACTCAGGTGTGGTCCGGGGCCGGCGAAAGCCATAGCTTCTGGTGACAAGAGTCAGGCGGTTGCCAAAGGTGTGGATTCTATTTGTCCCCTCATGCGCGCAGTCAACGCGTGCATTGATTCCATGTATTCACTCCGGCACAAGACTGCTGGACATGTTCCCGCTGGCTGGGTTTGCTTTTCCTTTGCAGAGATTCGGGAGGTGTTGATGCACTTTACCTTGACCAATTTTGTGGCTCTGCCCGGCCTCCTCGGGCGTGAGCTGCGTGGGGCTCCAATGGGCGATGCTTTGAGTGGGGCAGTGCTGCGGCTCTTCAAGTGGAGAAGGGAGGCTGCGCAACTACCTGTTGAGGAGGTAGACACTGTTTGTTTCCGCAGGTCCTGCTCCAAGCTGGTCCCTGTCTGTGGTTGCAATATGTTGGTCCTTGACGTCAATTTCCGGGACGACTTGCGCATGTTTTGCGTGTGGGACGGGCAAGCCATCATTGATAAGGAAAAGGGTGGCGCAATGGGCTATCTCCAGGCTGCGCGCCCGATACCACTACGGCACCATGAACTTGGAAGAGTGTGAATTTCGGACATTCATTGGTTTGCGGACGGAGTTTGGAGATGAGGGCCTTTTTGTTGCCCCTGTCTTTCCTAACCCGTTCGGAAGTTGTAGTTACCACACAGTCGACTTGCGAATTTTGCAGCCATGGTCATCGTAGACCCACGGCGGTTATTAAGGGATGGCTGTGCCGCATCTTTCATTTGTCCAGCTGCTCCGAGGGAAGGGCTCTTGCCTTTGAAGAGGCTTTTTTGTCTTTACATTCTTTGGTTGGATTCCCTAAAGACCTGCTTGCCAGGGTGACCAGAGATTGGATCCTTCGCTGGGTGTCCGCAAAGGATGCCCGTGCAGTACAGTGCGTAAGACTTGAGGTGGAGAGGGCATTGCGGCGATTGCGTTAAAAAAATTGCCGTCACTCATTTCATTTGCTCTTATTTGCTGTTTCTTGCTGTGCATCCCTATGGGTGCTATGTGGGGGCGATCCAATGCAGCATTGCTGGCTGGGTCATTGTAAGGTGCTGAACTCCCCTATGACACCTACGTCCAGGTTGACATGCCCAATACAGATCGAGGGGGCTGTGCATGCAGTGCCTTTGGTTCCTGGTAGGAATCTGCTTTTTTTGTACCTGTTTTGGTACTTGGTATTTGTTCTTCCGGCGTGCGCATGGAGTGATGGCGTCTGTTCGCGGTTTGTTGTGATCTCGGTAAGGTGATGGAGCTTGCGATTCACAGGATGTTTCGGCTTGCGACGCATATGCTCTAATTCAAATCTTCCTTCAACCTTCTTCAGCTTGCTACATTTCATTCAAATATATCGTAATTTTGGATTTCTTTTTTCAATGATATAATACCTCTTCCAAAATAATTAATAAAATATATTATATTTTAAAAATAGATATTAACGAATAATTATTTTAAGAACGAATTTGCAAATATATATATATAATAATATAATATTTTATATATAATCGAATATATTCAATTTAAAATAATCTAATTTTATAATAGATTACAATATATATAATATTCACATATTTTTTTAAATAAAATATATTAATATATATTTTCAATTATCATTTAAAATCTGTATATAGATATTAATTATATCAAATTATATTAATATCCTATCGTATATAAATATATTAAATATATGGTTGATTTCCAATATATATTTATCAAAATGGGGTATTCATCGTAATTCCCTACGAAACCATTTCTAATCTCCTTTTTAAATTCCATTCATAAAGATGTTAAATATAAAGGCAAATCAATTGCAAAAATTGGAAGATATATTTAATTTTTTTAAAGATCGAATCTATTAAATTATTAGAATTCATTCATTCGTTCACGACCGGCGGAGCGAATCCGCCCGTGTTGGGCGAGCAATCGACGAAAGTCAATCGGCGGTCTCGAAGGACAGCTAGCCCGGGCGGCTCTGGCATCAACTAAGCGCGAAAAAGTGGCACGAACGGGTTTGGTCGGTTGACCACTGTACGGTAAGCATCGGTCAAGTTGTTGGTTCGTGTCAGCCAAACGACATAGATGTCTTCTTCCATTGCTGTCACGTGTGGGACAGAGATGGGTACTCGATCATCATCACACAGAAATCTGCCGCCCCCCGTGCGGAGGAGGCATTGATAGTGGCCTGTGGTCGGTTCATGACCTCGGTGCAAAGCAGTTGCAACAACCTGATATTCAATCCATGTGACCGTCCGTCCGGATGTATGCATGAAGCACGGCATCAAGACATGTTGTCGATTCCAGCTGATCAAGGTCTTAGATCGAATGCCAAGTGCTGGAAATCGATTGATCTGCAAGCAAACTGTGGTAGCGGAGCCAGCTAGACCTAAACAGTACGGGGGTTGGGAGTGCCACATGTGAACAAGTTCTTGCAAGGTGCATCCGACGGGCTTTTCTTCTCTCATGACGATTGGCGAGCAGGTCCAGCCCCAGTCCTCTATCGAGGCATCAAAACGAGCCTCCCAGCGAGGTGCCTGCGAAGTCGTCACGAAAATCGGACGGTGCATAGTGTGCCTAAGCCAACCTAAGAATTCAGCCACATCATGCTGAGCCCCCTTGGCATGTGAAGCGAACCAGCCATCAAGCAAGGTTCCCAAACTGCTTGGATCGGAGAGCCCCAGAGAGTTGGGTCCCCGGTCCAGCAGCCGAATGAGGGGCTCCTTCCAAGTGCCAAGCATATCCCAAGAAAAGGTGTTGTCCATACAACAGGCCCAAAGTTCACCGATCAAAGCGGTGTTCATGAAGCAATCGTTGGCCTCATTGCCAAGGCTCATCTCTAACAGCAAAGTCCTCATCTTTTGAGGGTCCGGGCCACCGCTTGTGCCAAGGGTGATCGTTGCAATGTCGAGGGTCGTAGCCGCACTGCAATCAACTGTGTGAGACCATTGCCTGTGAGCTTGGTCAGGAGGTCGAACAATTCCTGGCTGGCCGAACTCCTGAGGGAGATGTCGAGTCTCCAAGGAATCACCACATTGGATGTGGGCCCCAACTGGTCCGAAGGCATCGGTTTCAATGCCGTGAACCGATGAATCAGTTCCGGCTGGTTCGCAAGCGTGTGGATGCGTTCGATCATCTTTGAGGCTTCCTCGGAGGAGATCGGGTCTCGGGACGACGGCTTCAGTGTCTTGTCCTGATGGTCCCACTGAAGATAGTTCCATGCATTCGTGGTGGTCAAGATCTGTTTGGACCGAAGGGCCAGGATCAGTTCGTGGTCGTTTGACCCTAGTGGAAGCTGGGCAGCTCTGCTTGCAAGTTCTTCGAACACCGACTGAAACATCAACTGACGGAGCGGGCGATCTACCTTGCCTTGCTCTCGTTGGCCTTGCCATGTCTTCGAGATCTGAAGCATCTGCGGAAGGATCGAACTCTTGCCGGCCTGGATGAACAAAAGGAAAGTACGATCGAGGTTCAACTGGTTCAGTTGGTCCTCTTGCCTCAAGGTCAGTCTGGCCAACATACCCAGCAGAGTGGAATCGTCGACCGAGCCCGAAGCCGATGAGTGCGATGACCTCCTCTGTCCGGATCGGAAACGCTGTTGACCGGATGAGGGTTCCTCCTCGTTGGGTCGTTGCCGTTTGAAGTGACTGGAACACACCTCCATCAGGTCTGAAAAAGATTGATCCTCTTCTTTCAAATGATCCATCCCGCAGACCCTGGTGGAGGCACCAATGATACCAGTCTTGGGCCAGGACATGCTCAAGTTCGAAGAGGCATGTTTGAAACAACTGGTGTTGAAGAGACAAACTGTCATGCACTTGAACGTGTTCAGGATGGAATGGCGCAAGGTCATCTGAGTTCCACGCCCAAAAGATGGGATGTACTCGGGTGCAAACATGAAGCAGGTTGAGGGGTACTGCATGCTCAATCTGAACCTGCGGGTGATCTGTGAAATGAGCCAACCAGGGTGTGACGTGAACATACCAGCTCAGTCTGTGTTCAGGCCCAAAAATGGGTGTGTGAACCATCGCAGAGTACGAACTGCTCAATGGATGCGCACAAAGATCATGAGTCATCTTGGGGTGCCAAGCTGGCGTGTCAAGTGGCACGTGCAATCCACAGGGGCTTGGCCCTTTGCATGGTGAGGCAACAATCAAGGCCCTGACTTGCTTGTCAATGACAGTCTCAGGTTTGTCATGCACAAGCACCGGCAGGTCAGACTCGGACATGGTCATGGTGGAAAGAGCGGTCCGGTCAACAGGTCCATAGTGCATGTCTTTGAGCCATTCGATCAACAATGCTGGGCACGTGGCACGTTGGTAGTACAGTCTCAGGGCAGCCTCAGTCGTGAAGCAGCTCAGGCAATGAGCACATCCGAGTCGACCATGCATCATGTCCCTACTAGGTCGAAAGCTAAAGAACTCCGGCTTATCAACTTGATGGGCATTCCTCAAATGTCCAGCTAAGCCCTTCCTGCCAATGTGGGTTTGGCATAGGGGACAAAGGAACATCTTAGGTGGTTGAGGGACTTCAGCTGGTGCTTGAGTCAACATGGCTTGGACTGTGTCGACACGAGGCTTCTTGGAGGTCCGGGCAGGCCCGGATGCAGTGGTCCCTAGGTCATGGTCATGTGACAACATGTGCTTTTCCAGGCCTGTCGATGTCAGGAAGCTACTATGGCATCGTTGACAAACAAAAATGGTTGGTTGCAGTGAGGGCAATGCTTCATCCATGGGTGCATCACAGACTGACGGCGGTGCACACGATGCTGAGGGAGCAGGAGAATCATGAAGGTCACCTGACAAATGTGGCGATGGAACTGCAGGGATCGATCTGGACTGCGCTGAGGCAGGCTTGGGGTCACTTCTAGAGGCCTTCATCATTACAGGCATGACCGGAAAGTGTTCAGGTTGGAAGGTGTAACCCAACATCGCTGACAGTTGAAACAGGACCCCACATTCATGACTGCGGACATTGCGGCACTCCTTATCACAAAAGCTACAGCGGCCACGACCACTGCCAATATTGGCGAGACCAACGACATGTGCAGCATATTGGGCAGCATGTGCAACCATCTGCGGATGCTGATCTGTGTAGTGCTTATGGATGGATCGGGCAGCTATCTGGCAATGACAAAAAGCGCAATGGCAAGACAGTTCCTTAATGAGGGCTTGATTCAACAACAATCCCGGAATCGACTTGTGACGTAGGTGCATCTTCAGATCAGGTCGCGCCACAATCGGAATGATTATCTCCTGAGCCGGGTTGAATGAGGTGCAGACCCTTCGATTAATGTGATCCCTCAATCTATAAAAATCCACAAATGAATGAGAGCAGTGTGAACAGATTGGACGACCGTTCCAGGCGTCTCGCAAGGGATTATATAGATCATCCGGTTCACAAGGGATGGTATGTGCTTGTCTCATGTGGCGTTTAAGGGCTCCCACCTGCTTGAATGCTCGATGGCACTCCGGGCACTGAAGTTCCTGAGTGAGCTGAGGATCCGGTGTGTCGACCGGCATGGTAAGGTCGCTCGGCCATACATCTGGGGTGCAGGCACATATGTCAGGTGAGTCTTCAGTCATGGCTTCCAGTCGAAGTTTGATAGCACGGCGATGCAAGGCTTGTTTGATCCTATGTTGTTGTTGTTGAAGCTGGGTCTAAGGCGGATTGAGATGAAGTCGGTCGAAGAAACTTTGCGTCGATTCGTGTGTCAGACAAACAGGAGACTTAGTCATGATCCTATGATGTGTATTGATCATGCTTACAAGTCTGGCCAGACCTCGACGAGTGATCCCCATTTCATGGATGCCATAGCTGACAGTGGCCATAACACATTGACGATACAGCTTTAATCGGATTGCAAGTGGGTGAACCGTGCTGGTAAGCCAAGACCTAATTTGGGCGAAGCACCACTTAGCAGCTGCAATCCGTCTCATGGTTGAATCAAAATCGAATGCACGATAACTCAGAAACACTCCAAGATAGGCTGTTGTAGACACGAGGGGCAAGCGCCAGAGTTTCTCCGGCAAGATCAGCTCTGGGCCATCCGGTTTTCGATGTACCCAACGACGTAGGAAGCTAGGAGCTTCGCGACCAACCAATCGGATGATGGCAAAGCTCTTTTGCATGTTAATCTTGAGACCAAATGCACTAAAAGTATCCAGTACATGTTGAAGCTCAGCTAAGGCCTCAAGTGCATGGGGTGTGGATTCAATGATCCAACGGAGGTGAACATCGTCTGCATAGACAACTATGTGGTCGCGGAGCCATGCAAGCGAGTACCTAGCCTTAAGGTCTAGGAGGATGGCGCTCATTACAAGGGTCCAAAGCAATGGGGCGTCTTTAGATCCCTGTTTAATGCCCCTGCAGGCAGTGACATGTCCAATCAATTGCTTGAAAGGAATACAATACTTGTGGGGGGCCAACCATGAATGGATCAATCGCAGAGCATCTACATCGAACTGGTATTGATCGAGCGCTTGAAGGACCAAGGATCTGGCTACCGTGTCGAAGGCCTTTTCCATATCTAAGGAGATCTGCAACCCTCCCTGCATACCCGGTGCATTGGGACTCGAACGAAAGTGGCTACATGTGTTGCGAACTTGTCTGCAATGGGAAGCCACAATGAGCAGGCAGTCACGAGTCCCCCGGGAAGGTAGGTAGGCGTACAACGGCAGTTGTCTCAAAGTAGGAAAGGCCTGAGACAAGATTAGACGACATTGTAGGCCAGCGAAGACCTTGCTAACAGGGTGTTGGAGACATATGGGTCTTAGTGCCTGTGGTTTGGACGGGGTTTTGTTGGGTTTGGGAAGAAGAAAGATCCACCCCGTGGTCCAATGTGGTGGTGGTTGTATTCTAGATCCCATCCAGCATTCAACAACAAATGTGTTCATGATAGGCTCGGCAAGGTTAGTGGCAAAATGCTTCCACACCAGAGCTGGTATGCCGTCGGGTGCAAGGGCCTTTGTACCAGGCAATGCTCTCAGGGCTTCAGTCAAGGCCTGGCGGTCGAATGGGGCTACGGTGATAGGGTCAGTGTTAAACTGTGGTTGGTGATCATCTGAGTACAAGGCAGTATAGTATTGTTCAATCTGTTGTATCTCCTGGGTCGGAGACAAAGGCATGCCATGTGGATCGTACATCTGAATACGACGAAGCCGTTGCTTAGGGCAGAGCTGGCGAATCTTGCGATACCATTCAAACGTGTGGCCATGCAGGGCCAGATTAGCCCCTTCCGCAAGAATGGTTTCCAGTTTCTGACGTCGATTAGCTCGATTAAATTGCCTGATCTGTTTGTGACATCCCAAATAGGTCGTTACATGTTTCCAACATCTAAATAAGGATCCCAACGATTGGCCTCTGATGCGAAGGGCCTCTCTACGTGCATTCCACATCCTGGAGGAAATGGACAGGAGCTGAGAGGGAACGGAGCGAGGAGAACGTCGTTTGGGGAAGTGTTGAATACACAGTGCACGCAGTTGGGTTTCAAGATCAAGCATACAATCCTGAGTAGGGCGGTCAGGGATGGAAGTCAAGTCATTGATCAGCTGTGCACGATCCTCGAAGCAAACCCACTGGTCCAACTGCGCATGGTATGCATGTCTCATGGCAAATCTATCAATCCTATTGAGCGGAAAGTGAGCCGGCTGAGGGGCATGCCACTGCGGAAGGGTCACCAGCAAGGGATGATGATGAGGTCCACTAATACCAAAGTTCCTTTCGAATTGAGTGTTCGTGAGCGGCTTCATGCGTCGGTATCGAACCTGCTACTATCGAATTAGAATGTAGTCAATGCGAGAGGCATAAGCACCATGAGAGAATGTGTTTTGGTAACCCCCTTTACAGTTAACGGCAATCAGGTCCTGAGATCTCAGGATTTGCTGCAAGACATGGCTGTCCTTGTGCACATTGGGTAGTCTTCTAGGGTCTTCCGTTCCAACAAAAGGTGGATCAGCACGAAGAACAGTATTGAAGTCTCCAAGAATAATTAAGTAATGGGCCTTGGGAATATGATTCAAACAGTTTTGAAGTGTTAGCCACAACTGTTATCGTTTTTGAAGGAAGGATTAAGAGCCTTGACATGGATTCCAGGCATGTTGATAAACAATGAGAAAATCAATCGTGCGCTTAAGAAATATCCGCACATGCAGGAGGCGTCCTTCAATCAAGGTGGCCGTGGCCAATCGATCTGCTGGAGCGAAGTGGACACGTACCATCAACAAAACGGAGGCCTGTTTGCAAGCCGAATGTGTATAGTGCCATTCGGAGGTGCTCCATGTAGCCGAGAAGCGCCATCCCGTCTCTTGTATAACCAACACTTCAAACGGTTGAGTGGAAGCCCAAATTAATAGCTCATTATAGACCAATGCTTTCGAGGGATTCCAAGTCATACAGCGAATGCCAAGTGCAATAGAGACTAGCGTCAACGCCTTCCGAGCAGCCGACAATTATCTGAAGGACTCACGGAACCTCCATGGGACATCTGTGGGGAGGAGCATCTTCCCTCGGTACTCAGCCATACCATGGCGTAAGGCCCTATAGCATGCTCTTTAGTATGCGCGCTTAATGCGCAAAACGCGCGGCCGGGCAGAAATAAGGCCGTAACCACCAAAAGCCCATCCCTCATGTAACTTCGTGGAAGGAGAAGGTGTGTCCACCGGATAACCTCCACTCTCGCTCAAAACAAAAGAACTCTAAGCAACCCTCACGCCGGATATGGAAGCAAGTTAAAAGGGGTAGCATCAGTTCGCATATCCCCCGGAATTAAGACCGGGAAATCCAGTTCGGTCTTCAATAGAAAAATAACGGTAGCCAGAAAGAAAGGATGCCAGTGCATCATCATAAAAACAAGCTCGCAAAATTCATGGCACACCGCCCCAAAGCGGCCGTGGCTCTTAAACTAGAAATGGCGCTTAAAATTATTAAAATCATTATTATTAAATTTCAATATTTATTTTCAAAATTTTAAATCCAATAAAAGAAGGATATACATATTAATTTAATAAATAAATATTCAACAAATAAATCATCGTTTAACGCAATATTACCACCAACCTAATGCAAAAATATACGGTTATCGTATTTAATTTTTATTGTTTTCCTTTTTATTTATTCTATTTTATATTTTTTAAATATACATATATATTTTCAAATCTAAAAATAAATGTATATCTATATATATCAAAAAATATTATTAAAATATATTAAATTAAATTTCTAATATATATTATCCATGTTATATCATTAAAAAAAAAAAAAATATAATTCATTTAATATGTTTTCCTCAATTATATATATTAAAAACAAGATTCATATATATAATATAAATAATTTTATTATTATTATTTTATATATTAATATATAAATATATAATAAAATAATATAATCAATAAAATATAAATAAATATATTATTAATCAAATCAATATTTAAAACAATATATTTCAAAAAATATAAAATATGTAATTTACAATATAAAATCAAAAAAATATATAATATATTTATCTATAAATATATATCTAATATCAATATCCAATCCATAAATATTCTATACAATATATAGGCAAGAAGATTTAAAAATTATATTTATATATATATATATAATATTCTTTAATTTTCTTATATTTATTTATTAAATTAATCTTTTAAAAGATATTAAAGTTCCTGGCCGGATCGTACAAAATGTTTGTCTTCAAAAAGAATATCAGGGCGGTCGATCATTCAGGGAGATGTGATCTATTGGTTCGTTTTACATTGATGTTATGGAAACAACATTATGCCAAAAATTGTCTGTTTACAACGATCTCTCCATTGCATCGGCTCCTCTTCCTCCGTTGCGTCGCCACCAATGGGCGTCAGCCCGTCGCAGCCAATCTTCTGATTCAAACGAGCGATCACATCGCCACACCTGGAATTGCCCGTGAAGGAGGTCGTTTTTGGTCGTGCAATTCTAGTGGGTAGACTTGGCCCAACAAGACGTCGTATGGTTTCCTTCGCTGAACCCAGAAAGCCGATACAGAAGATGTGTTTCAGGACGTCGGTCTTGATGAGATTCCAGCGATTCTGACACAAGAACACGGACTGAGATGGTACAGTTGGAGGGTGGGCGCGCCGACCTCCTGCCTGACTTCAGACTGCCATCGAGGTGGTGTTTCGGTGATTCTTTGGAAGACTCAGATGTAAAATCACAACGCACATATCATCAAATTTGACAGAATTAAGAATGTCCGAACATCCACGCAAGGGGAAGGGATCAAGAATCAATGCAAACATATGCAAATATGTCCATCTCGCAACGCCCATGCCATGAACCTATGATAACCTATGTCAGGAGAACCCGTGGGCTGAAGCTTTACTCTTCATGATTATCCCAGGCTGGACAGGGTTCCCAGATCTCCAAAGGGCTCCAAGACCTCCATAGAAATGCATCAAACGTCATCAGACCATCCTGAACCACGAAAACACAGAGATGTCCACAAGGTTCTGGCATCCTGCTTCACAAGCTGATTCAGTGATATTCACGGTTTTGTGGGATGTGCAAGACACACATCTATAACACTGAGGTTGATGAGCAAGCATTCACTTCAACTCCAGCCCAAAAGGATTTCCCTCCGCCTTCGCATCCCTTCCCGCTGAGTCCGCCGCGATCGACCGGTCACAAACTTCCCGTGCCAACTCACGTCAGCCATCCGCACCTGGACGATCGGGGTTCCCCGCGCCGCGATCGGAACCTCCGTGGGATCGGAGCCGCGACGAACGCCAAGACGCGCGTCACGCGCGATGCGGAGAGGTCCAAACCTCCACAGGGGCTTCGAAGCAGCCTGGGCGATCTGGGTCGGTGGAGAGACCTTCTCCATCGGCGAATCCCTGAAAAAGATCTGCGAATCCGTCAGAATCCATATATGAATTGCCCTCTTTGTGCGAACCAAGTGGTGAAGCACAACATGTGGTTGACATGATCAGTGAAATGGTTTCTTCAGGTCATCCCAGTCCCAACCTCATCTCCCTCATCTGCACGCCACGAACGTCTATGACTCAGAGGGGGATGGATTTCCCTCGGGTTTTGGAGCATGTTTTGATCCCCATCCAAAGGACATCAAAGGACTCCCGACAAAATATCTGCTAAGACTGAGTCATTGTTTTTTCATTTAATTTCATTAAGAATTCAGCATTCAGTTGGAGGCCATCCCTATTAGGTTGGAGGCCATCGCTACAGATCCTCTGCGCAGACCTTTATGTCCAGGAAGTTCGCCCTCGCCCTCTGCAACCCCAGGTGCGATGCTCCGTCCCGCACTTGGAGGTCACCACATAGTTACACCGCACAAACTCAGGAGCGCGCGAAAATGGAACAGCAGAAGCGGTCACGATTGGGTGGGCTGTCCCAGAAATCGGAACAACATGGGTTTTAAGGGCTTGTACAAACTGTTGAGCAAAATAATCCTATATATTTAGGTCTGAGGTTTTAAGGGACCGGCACCAGCAACCTGTCTCCACCACGTGCACAGCCAGCTCACAGCAGC